AATAGTCTGGAAGACAGGATGCAGATAGATGATAAGTTTAAGTTTGGTGTGATTGAAACTGGGTTAAAGTCCAGCGTTAAGGCAGAATAAGCTAAAGGAAGAAATGTGAGCCACAAGATTTGAGATCTGAGCAGTCAGAAGTAAAGGACAACAATCATACACAGTTGGCAACTAGTATTCAAAATAACATGAAATTCATGGATTTGAAAGAAATGATTAAATTATGAAATTAAGATGTTACTGTTACATAGTTCTGAAAATGAACTACAATTAAAACTGTATTTCATTTGTTCTTAATTCTGGGTAACACTAGAAATAACTGGCCGGGTGCAGTGGCTCACGCCTGTAATCCCAGCACTTTGGGAGGCCGAGGTGAGCAGATCACCTGAGGTCAGCAGTTCAAGGCCAGTCTGGCCAACATGGCGAAACCCGTCTCTACTAAAAATACCAAAATTAGACAGGCATGGTGGCAGGTCCCTGTAATTCTACCTACTCCAAAGGCTGAGGCAGGAGAATTGCTTGAACTCGGGAGTCAGAGGTGGCAGTGAGCCGAGATCATACCACTGTACTCCAGCCTGGGTGACAGAGTGAGGCTGCATTTCAAAAATAAATAAATTAATAAACAAAATTTAAAGACATAACTAGGCCAGGAATAGTGGCTCATGTCTGTAATCCCAGCACTTTGGGAGGCCAAGGCAGGCGGATTACCCGAGGTCAGGAGTTCAAGACCAGCCTGAAAAACATGGTGAAACCCCATCTCCACTAAAAATACAAAAATTAGCCGGAGTGGGGGCATGCGCCTGTAATCCCAACTACTCAGGAGGCTGAGGCAGGAGAATTGCTTGAACCCAGGAGGTGGAGGTTGCAGTGGGCCGAGATGGCACCACTTAACTCCAGCCTGGGCGACAGAGCAAGACTCCATCTCATTTAAAAACAAACAAGTAACAAAAAAAGAAATAACTGATGACAGGTTTGTACAGTCATAACACTGAGAGAAAAAGACTATGCCTACGAAAGTTCAAAAGAAATTTAAAAAACAATGCAAAACTTTAGAGGTGAGCTATCATACACACATATGTATTTCATAGAACTACACTGATACATAAAATGTTTGCAAAGATAATCAGATTTTGAAATTATTTCCTTGAATAATAACTTTCGAAGTAAACAGTCTTCTAGTTTAAACAAGACAATATTGCAGGAATTAATGTACTTTTAGATTGCTTTACTTAGACAACATATGCTTTAGTATACTTATTCACAGAAAGGTATCTAATTTATAAGATGCATGAGACTCTAAAATGCTACAGAAAAAAAAAAGATGAGAATGTGGAAATATTGGAAGAAAGACAAGGGAAAGGAGTACATAAAGTAAGATCAGTAGTTCTTAACACTGGCTGCACATTCGATTTACCTTGGCACTGATGCCCAGGCCACCTCACCCCATTCTGATTCAGTTGGTGTGAGGTGGGGCTTTCAGCCTGTTATTCTAATACATCTAATTCCACTGAAATAGGTATATATAGTGACAAAAATGGAAAATGCTGAGATTGGTAGTTAAATTTGTTGACTCAGAAAACAAAAATACAGGCTAAGAGACATCTGTGGATTAAACTCTTCAATGAGTCCCATTCCTTGCTCTAGATAGTTTAATGTCCCAGTCAACACTGGAGGCCCTCTGTGATAAGGTTCTCCTGGCTGTCTTTCCAATTTCATCTCCTCTTCACTCCTCGCAAGCAAACTAACACACAGCCAAGCTCAACTATTTTCAGCTTCCCTAAAAGTACCAAACTAGCTCATTCCTCTCCCTTTTGCATATTAGTCCTTCTGCCTAGAATAACATGTCCCTTCTACTCGGTCTGTCTAGCATGCCACCCAAATTCCTAGTCATCTTTACATTACAGTCCAAGTATACCTTATGCTGCAGCCAACGTTATATTTTTACACATATCTGTTAAATAATTTACCACACTGCATTTTTTTTCATGTTTGTCTCGTTTATTGATGTTTGAGTACTTTGCCAGGAAGTAAGACATCTTTCTTCTTTAATTTTGTATCTCCTATGTTAAACTCTGAAGATTGGCCTATGGCTGTATGAATAACAACAAAATAACAGAATAACCACTGGTTCTAAATTTTCCAACAGGAAAGTTAGAGGAAAAGAAAAATTCTAAGTAGAAATGGAGATTTCGGAGGCCTGAACAATTATGTGATTATAAAGGGAGCCACTGAATGTCTTTCATCATCTTCTAAATTTTCCCTTTATATCTTTTATTCCCTCTAGTCTGAGTAAGGACGCCTCCAACGAAAAATGAGCGCAGCCATGTAACAGAAAGGGCGAAAGGAAAATGGGAAAGGATATACAGGGAAAACCAACGACTTTGGTAATGTTTCAATTCTCCAGCTCAGGGGAAAGAGAAAACTGGTGACTTTTGTATTAATCTTTATACCTTTAAGCACGTCTTAAAATGCTGCTTTACAGCCGGCCGCGGTGGCTCACACCTGTAATTCCAGCACTTTGGGAGGTCGAGGCCGGTAAATCACCTGAGGTCAGAAGCTCGAGACCAGCCTGGCCTACATGGCGAAACCCCGTCTCTACTAAAGATACAAAAATAGGCCGGGTGTGGTATCGGGCGCCTGTAATCCCAGTTTCTTGGGAGGCTGAGGCATGAGAATCGCTTGAATTCAGGATGCAGAGGTTGCAGTGAGCTGAGATCGCACCACTGCACTGAAGACTGAGCGACAGAGAGAGACTCTGTCTCAAAAAAAAAAATAAATAAATAAAAATATGTTAAATGTATGGATAATACCCACTAAGTGTGAAGCTCTGCTCACTTTGAAATCATTTGATAAGTACTACTATCTCTGGTTACTGGATACAGGCACATACATATACACATGTGGGTGCCTGAATCTATATTTATAACCTTGAAAAAGACTATTTTAGTGTTCTTATCAATCTACAGAACAAGTCAACTAAAGCCATTCCATTACCTCCACAACTTCTTAAATCCAGAAAAAGATTAGATACCTACATTAGCAGTAACAAATTGGTACCAACATAAAAAGAAATAAAACTGGCTTCTTAATTATGTCCGGCTCTTAAATGTAAAATGAAAGGAGTTGATTTTTCAAAACTGGTTTCGATTACTAAGGAACCATTCTGTTTAAAGGACGCCTAAAACTTCTTATCGTCGGCCCCTTTTTTGGTCTGGGTGTTTTCTCTCTTCAAAAGACATCACATCTCATTCTGACTCAGAACAGGTTTTGCAACTTCTCGGCCCTTTGGACCTGCCACTTCCAGGTGTCTCATTACCTGTTCTAGACTAATTACGGACACGTAACGTCTTACACAAAACAGAAAAGCATTTAGTTTCTGAATGCCTTAAAAAAAAAAAAAGTTTAGAATGAAGATGCTGGAAAACTCGTGTATCTGAATAGGACAACTCACTCCCAAGTCCTAGAAGAAAGGGGAAGAAATCAGAGTGAAAGTGCACTGGCTTACGGCTCAAAGGGCAGGGCGGGAAAACAAAGCACCAACAGTATTTTTTTTAAAAAGTTTTAGGTTTCTGGCCGGACACTTATCCTGGGGCTACACATAGATACAAGTACGCTTCAATAACGACGGGAAAGGCCCTCCATACGCCTCCGGGCATCATTAGCTGTATCCCGCTTTACTTCGCCAATATCCAAACAGTCTCAGTTTGGATTCTGGGACACCAAATGCCTTCTCTTCTGCCTCCCTGTTTCTCCCATACGTCAGGTCTCTCTTGTACGTCCTCCAGGTCTAAAACACAGAGTTTATGCCCGCCCCCTGGCCTAAGTCCCTTCCTCCTCCGCTTCTCCGAACGCTCCGTCCCCTGCCTCCGGTGTCCCCATCGGCGGCCGGACCCTCCGCCTCGGATTCGAGCCGCCGCGCAGCTCCATCCTTCTCACCTTGGTTACAGAAGAGGCTCCACAGTTTGGCGAAGATCAGCCCCATCATGAGCACCGGGGCGGGCCGCGGGGTCCCTTGGCAGCAGGTGCCGCTGCGCCGGGCCCCCCACCGCGGCGCGGGCTGCGGGGAGCCGAGGAGAACCCGCCTGAGATCGCGCAGCTAGGGCACTGCTAGGCCAAGAAGCCTCGACCTGACCCGTCAAAAAGCGCCGCGGCGAGTCCCCACCGGATAGCCCTTTGTTTCGAGCCCACTGAGCCCAACGCCGACCCGTAGTCCCCTCGGTCTGAACCCACCTACCCACCACAGCCTCTCTCAACCCCAAGCCCCGCCTCCACCCCGCCTCCCCTCCCGGTCCCAGGACCACCCATCGCCGGAAGCTAGGCGCGTGACGTCGGCGCGCTTACGGCAACACACGCCTTCGACGTGGCGTTTTCTTCGGTTTCACTTCCGGTGGGAGAACCCCAAACTGCCAGCGACTGGGAATTTGCGGTATCACAGGGAGGTGGGGAGTTTCCCTCGGTGCGTGCTCCCTCTGATGTCAGCCTTCAAAGCGTTTGTGGGACTCCTCTTTGATTTGAGTCTCTCTGCTGCTAGCAGCTGCGGACCTGACCTCTAAAGCCAGAAAAGACCATAGGTTCTCTAATTGAGCAGCCGCCGTTTGCTGCCCTTAGAAAACTCACAGAAGTGAAGAGTGTTTCTTTCTTGACTTCTTCCTGTTCCTCTAGGCAGGCGTGCTAGGGATTAGGAGTTCTGCCGTGATTCTTTTTCATTCATTTATTCATCTATTCATTCACGTATTCATTAATTCGCTTATTCATTTATGTACTCATTGGTTGACTGATGGATTGCAGACGAGGTAGGGCTGTGTTGCCCAGGGGGTTTCAATCTCCTGGGCTCAAGCAATCTTCCTGCCTCGACTTCCCAAAGTGGTGGGATTACAGGCGTTGAGCCACCGCGCCCGGCCCCTGTCGTGATTCTTAATTCTGAAAAGAATTGATTGGGAGACGAGCCATGGAAGGCCTGTAGCCACAGAGTTCAGTTATGTGATTAATAATAACACATAATAATAACACACAGTGCCCCTCCCCATTTTGCCAAGCATTAAGTATGTTCGTGGATCCCAGATCGAAATCCACGCATAAGCCAATTCGCTATATAATTGTTTTCAATTCCACTTTCCATGGTTAGGTTCTAGCATTGAAAAGAAAAGCTTCACAGCCTGGAATGAAACGAAACTGAATGTCCTTGAAACCATTTGACGGAGGAGCAACCTTAAGAGACTAAGACTTCAGTCAGATAGTTGGATTTTAACCTTGGCAACGTGGCCTTTTAACATGCCAAACTGCTGAGTTAACTTGTACAAGGAGAATGTATGACTTATGTCCTCCCAGTGCTATAGTTTAAAGACTCTTCAAGACTTAGATGCAGGATAATATGCTCCAACGTTACGACAATGAAGGCAAGTTTCATCCTCCTATGTAGAGGAAAAATAATGTACTGAGCCTATGCAAACGTAACTGTCATGACTATCAGTTGAACCATAAATGTGAATAATTTTGTGTTTGTGTAAGTAATGGCTTAAAAGGACATTTTTAGTCCTAGCTTCATTATCACAAAAGAAACTAGATTCTTTAACAGCTTCTTCAGCTTCTTGTTAGACATGGATGTAAACCACATTCTGCTTTTTTTTTTTTTTTCTGGCTTTCGGATTTCTAAGAAACCATTTCTGAAAAGCAAGCATTTTGGTATGCAAATACAGACATTTGGCCAGGCGCCACGCTTGTAATCCCAGCACTTTGCGAGGCCAAGGCGGATGGATCACGAGGTCAAGAGATGGAGACCATCCTGGCCAGCATGGTGAAACCCTGTCTCTACTAAAAATACAAAAATTAGCCGGGTGTGGTGGCACGTGCCTGTAATCCCAGCTACTCGGGAGGCTGAGGCAGGAGAATTGCTTGAACCCTGGAGGGAGAGGTTGCAGTGAGCCGAGATCACACCACTGCACTCCAGCCTGGTGACAGAGCAAGACTCCGTCTA